CGATCTCCCCAAAACCCCAAAACCCCAAAACCCCGTGATTGAAAGATCGGGAATTATTTTGAAAAATAATAAGTTAGAAATAAAAATAAATATGCTAAGCCTATCTACATAAATGAGACTCCTGCTCTCCAAAAATTAATCTTTCTCAAGAACACTGCTTTCACAGCATTAGAAGAAATTCTCTGCCCTTTACAGTTTTGAAGAAAGCAGACCCTCCCTTACTTCTAACAAATTCCTGTTAATTTAGAACCCAATAGATACTCTTCCATATATCTAATTCAATCAAAGAGGAAATAAGATATAGCTGAATAAGGATTTAAGTTTAGCAGAGCTAGAGAAATAGCTAAAATAGACTGGAGAAATTAAAAACGATGCTGAATTTTATGCTCCTGATGGTGCTTCTATTGCTAAGGTATCAAAAGTCCATCATTTACTTCACATTCCATATTTCGTTATGAGATTAGATAATATTCGCGAGTACAATGTGATGAGTGAAAAGAGTTTCAGTTTACGCAATAAGAAATTCACCCTTAACGTTGAAGAAAAATCAGTCTATGATGCTTGCAAGGATCTTAATATGAGAGATTAAAAAGCAGTAGAGATTTCACGATTCCTGAGCAAATTTCAAAATCAGATTCAAGTCAAACCTGAATGGAGTTAAAATGAAATCCTTATTGTGATTAGAGAGGTACTAGCAACTAAAGCCCGCAATACAAAATAAGAAAAAGAAGTTCTTGGACTTTAACTTGCTTTGCTTAAGAAGCAAAGAGAGCCTACTTATAAAATGATTGCAGAGATCGAGACTCAAGCCGAAAAATAAACTCACAGAGTTCTACTATCATTCTGCAGTATTTTTGTTACGTAATTCATGTTGGTGCAATATGGTACATACATTGCATTCTCTTGGGATATAATGGAACCAATAACTTGCGGTATGACTCTAGGTGATGCAATTTGCTCCTACTTCTTTTGGCTATGGTCAAAGAAACCATATTCAATTGCTGGTTTGAAAGAATTCTTCTTTGAGAGAAAGAAGTCAAAGTTAATCAGAAGAAATAATTTAGACTACGACAACTTTTTAAAGACTGAAGAAGCAATTCAAATTATTAAAAACCGTCTCAAGGAACTCGAATGAGTGAAAAGAATGAGTCTGATTTAAAATGAACTATGAAAATATTCTAAGATTATGATGATTCTTCTTTTTTCTATTTCTATTTAAAATTGTTCTCCTTAAGTAGCAATGAAAGTAATCATGGGGTTTTGGGGTTTTGGGGTTTTGGGGTTTTGGGG